CTCAGCACCCAGCTGCTCCTGCCATGGCCTTTCCTTGTGACCCCGGTGTGAGGGGGAGGGGCACCCCCCCACACACACACACACACGCTACATCTCACACTGGATGCTTTCCTATTCCCCGCATTTCAGACCAGGCTGTGGGCACATGTTCTGGGTAGGATGAGTCCCAAAACCATTTCGACGTTGGGATTTTTTTTGTTTTTAATGTGAGTTGGAAAAGGTGCACTCCCAGTATGGTGGCACCGTTTCTGTTTTGTAGGGTCATCTGGAAACATGAGAGGCTTGTTGCCATCAGTGTGGGTTTCCAAGCTGCTGTGGGCTCTGTCTGCTGTTGCGAAGGCTTTTTTTTAAAGATGCTTATTAAAAACAGACCTTCCTGTGCGCTTCTGCTTTGTTTCACTGGGAAGGAGGAAGGCATCCTTCATGGGAGGGCTGCTCTGCCCCACTTCCGCCTGCAAGGCGGCGGGCTGGGTTCCCTTCTGGTGGTGACCAATGGGCTGTTCCCATCCCAGCCACTCAATCTCAGAGCCAAGACTGGCGCCAAAAATAGGGGTGGGGGACCTGAGGGGACGGGACCACAGCTGGTCTTGGTGATGCAGAAATACCTTCATCTGTGGTTATTTTTTCTTATGTCCTGATTACTGTACAGAGTGTAAGGTGATGATTAACCTTTTCTCTCTTAGAAGCAAAAGTAAGAAGAATTGGACTGGAAGGACATCAAGAGATTAGACATAGGAAACCCATTCAAGATTGACCATGAAATGCAAGCCTAGTGGGTGATTCAGAGAGGTCATGGGCTTTATTCTTCCAGATTTTCCCAAACAAACTGCCCATCCATTGATTTTCAGTTGAGAGGCAGGGGAGCGGATCAGATGGCCTCATGAGGTCTCTCCGGGCCTCAGAAGCGTGGGGGTCCTTCCTGTTTGTGTCCTACCTCCACAATCTGCTTGTGGCCTCCACAATCCACTGGCTCCTCTGTATAAAGAATTTCTCACCTGTGTGTCATATGTCAACATTACCATGGCAACGGAAGCACAGCACAGACCAACTCGAGGGCTGTATTTTTTATTTCGCTTGTCTCTGCCTGCCTTGTTCCCACTGCCATCACGTGCAGTAGTAGAAAGGGCAACTAAACAGGGCCTTTAAAGAACTGTTAAACTGCACAGGACGGGATGGAATGGGAACCTGAGCATTATTTAAAATGCTTTCACATTCACACTCTGGCAGTTATGGTACTGACAATGAGATATCCTTGTTTAGAAAGTCCAAACGAAGCAAAAGAAACACATGTCTGCGAAGGGCCTCTGATGTGAAGTGTTCTATTAGACATTCAGAACCTTGCTGGAAGAAGAGACTTGCAAGGATGGAGAGAGAGAGCAAATGCGTTTCAGGGTGCTCAAGGGCACAATTTAACCCTGGGAGAGCACCATGGCTCATTCCTGGGGATTTCCTGGTGGGGGAAATGCATTTCTTTAAATATATATACATACAGCTGATGGTGGCGCAGTGGTGAATCGCAGCATTCAGTGAGGCCAACCCACATGGTAGACCTCATGAGTGCACTGGCAGACGTCTGCCCAAGATCTAGAGCTGGCCGAAGCTGGAGGGGGATCTTGGTGTTAAGATCCTGTTGGGGGTACTATTTCTCTCTGTGTCTCTGTCTTTCTAGCTCATAGAAGAGACAGAAGGAGAAAGCATCCCCCCAAAGAGGATTGGTTTTGCTAAAATCTCTTCCCCTCCATTTCTCTATCCTGTCAATTTGGGGCACACACACAAGCACCTGGCCATGAGGACTGGCATTCAAACCGCACAGCTGGCCATGTGGGGCCCAGCTCTTTTTTTTTTTTTTTCTTTTTTTTGGAGAGGTTTTTGCCATAGGGCACATGCGCTCGCCAGACAGAGAGAGATAGAGAGACAGAAAGTGAGAAATCACCCCCCAGGGGGGGATGGCCACGTCACAATCCCTTCTCCTCCATTCTCCTCTTGGGATCTTGGGTATGCACGCACACGCGCCTGGCGTGAGTTTAAGCCACCGGGTTTGAGACTTGAACCATGGTCTACTATATGGGAGTCCAGCGACATAGCCATTATGCCAACTGGTCCCTCCTCTGGTCAAATTTAAATAAATAAATAAACTTAAATAAAGTAATTCTTAGAATAATAAATAATACTTAGCAAAGTTGTTTTTCAAAACTGAGAGAAATAAACACATCCCCAGAAAAACAAAATCTAGTGTAGTTCATCACCACTAGACCTGCTATACAGGAATTATTATAGGAAGTTCTTTTCTTTTTTTGGAGAGAGAGATTTTTGCTATAGGGTGTGTGCACTTGCCAGAGAGACAGGAAGTATGAAATCACTCCCCAGGGCCGGTAGCCATGCTGCAATCCCTTTTCCTCCATTATCCTCTCAGGATTTTGGGCACACACGTACATGTACCTAGCATGAGTTTTATACCACCAGGTCTGGGACTTGAACTGTGATTGCTTATGTGGGAGACCAGTGATGAAACCATTATGCCATCTCCTGGTCCCTAAAGTAATTTTTAAATTTTTTTAGAGGGATTTTATTTTTTTATTATTTTTTTTCTGGAGAAGTTTTTGCTATAGAAAAACAGAGACAGAGAGATAGAAAGCGAGAAATCACCCCTCAGGGGAGATGGCCATGCTGCAATCCCCTCTTCCATTCTCTCAGGATCTTGGCCACACATGCACATGCACCTAGCATGAGTTTAAGCCACCAGGTCCGGAACTTGGACCGTGGTTGAGTACGTGGGAGTACAGTGACAACTGTTATGCCATCTGCTTGTCCCCCAACCTTTGGTTTTTCAACTTGAGGAAGGGTTTATTGGTTCTAAGGCCATTGAAAATCAGAGGGTCTGGACTGAACTATGATTTGATGTGGGATTTTTTTTAACTTTACAATGTGTTGGTTTATTGGGGTATTAAATGCATTTTCAACTCATATTTTGACTCATGGGCTTATTGGAGTGAAACCTCATCAGAAGTTGAGGAGTATCCATACATTTAAATTACATTTCAGGACCAGCAGATGACATAATGGTTATGTCACTGGACTCTCATGTGCTCGACCGCAGTTCGAATCCTGGACCCAGCAGCTTAAAATTCACACAGGTGTGTGTGTGTGTGTGCCCAAGATCCTGAGAAGAGAGTAGAGGAGAAGGGTTTACAGTGTGGCCATCTCCCCTGCAGGGTTATTTCTCACTTTCTGTATTTCTCTCTGTCTCAAAACAAAACAAAACAATTAGATTTTAAAGCCTCCCTGA